GGCCGAGGATGTGCGTTGGCCCAAGGGTGAGGAGATTGTCAGGATCCAGGTTGCGAGGGAAGACAACATTCTGTGTGGGATGAGGATTCACTTTGAGAATGGCAAGGCCGGCGGCGCGTTGTCCGGCAATGAGGATGACCCGTATCAGACGCGGGAGGAGACTCTGACTTTGGGTAAGTGGACTGATAAGAATGAGTTCGATGGTGATGCTAACAAGGGGACAGAGGTGCAGAGCGACGAGATAATCGTTGGGTTCTACGGGCGCAGTTGGTGGGGGCATCACTTCGATGGACTTGTTGAGTTTGGCATCATTACTGCGCCGAAGGGCGTTGAGTTGCCGGACCAGGTCTACAAGATGAAGGAGCTCCAGAATACCGATGGCGGTCAAGACGTAAGTACTATCTGTTCTGGCCTTTGAAGAGAATTTAATACTGACACGAACCAGGCTGAGGATCTTCAAGGAGATGATGATGATTCCCAAGAAGAAACTCAAACTGAGAATGAAGACATGTATTAAGAGTAGACGGACGGACAGTTGGTATAACTCCGATCTAGAGAGCTTGAGTTGAAAATATGCGACATCCAAACTTATCTCCGTGATGATCAATGCTGAGAAACCCGCTTGGGTTCCCCAAAATTCAACAACTTAAAGCGTAACATTCGTACAAGCCAAATGGCGGGGACCTTCCACTGACTTATCCAATACATGTAGCAAATATGCCTCCACATGCAACTTAACCTGGTATTTAACAGAACAGACTGCCGCTGGGCGAATTCAGAAGTTGTCAATATCCATCTCGGGACTCTCTCTCCTCCTCATCAGCAACTTGGCCATACCATCTGATGACCATCCGAATCCGTATTCCTCCCAGCGGTGCTTGTACCCAGGGGTAAGCTGCCAGTCATACTTCATGATAATGTGCGCCAACGCAATCTTCAACTCATTGCCTGCAAAGAAGCGGCCGGGGCATGCGTGCTTTCCATGTCCGAAGCCGATGTGCTCGGGCGAGGTGCTCACGAGGTGGGCTTGGGCATCCAAGCCCGGGGTTCCTCGCATGCGAACGAAGCGGTATCCATCGAACTGGTCGGGGTTCTCATAGACTGTGGGATCGACCATCCTACCAAGGTCAGCGACGCATCGCTCGCCCGTTTGGAGTTGGAGACCATTGGGAAGGGTCACTGGACGGGTTGCGACTCGAGACATGATGGCTGCCGAAGATGTCAGTTCGAAGTTACCTTGAATATAAAAGGCTGATGACAAACCTGAAGTGACCGGTTTCAGTCTCTGCGCCTCTTTCAAGACGCTGTCCGTCAGCTTCATGTTAAACAGCGCGGTCTTCTTCCAGCCCTCAGCGCTGAGAACATCCACAATCTCCTTCCTTATCGCATCAAACAGTTCAGGGTGCTCAGCAATCCGCAACATCGTCTCCACGAGCAGATCGGTAGTCGTGTGAATCGCAACAGCAGATAGTCCCAACTGCGCCCCGGCAGCATCATACTTGGCCCCGCGGCTCTCCTCTTCGAACCAGTCCAACCCGTCGTTGAACCTCGGAATCGGCTCGCCCTTGGCCCGCGCCTGTGCCCGCAGGTCCCTACGCTTCTGTAGAACAGGCTCAATGATGCGCCGCGAGTCGGCAACCTGCTGGCGGAGGACCTTGCATTGCGGGACAAACCACTGGGCGAGCGGTCGCAGCCAGCTGGGGTAGATGCGCATCGTCTCGGCGCCGATGAAGGCGTTGACGGTGTAGGACTTTGTGACCTCGAGCCAGGCCTCGTTGCGGCATACCTCGTCGCCGAGGAAGACGCGGGAGGAGAGGCGGGAGATGATGTCGAGGACGTCGGCTTTGATGTTGAACTCGCGCCATTCTGTGTGTCGGGGGACCCGTGTTAGTCGGTGCGATGTGTCGCTGCGGTGCGGAGGATTACCTGTGGAGTTTCCGAAGCGGAGGTCGACGGCGAACTTGGCTTCGGATGACAGCGGCTCCGTGATTTGGTCTAAGAGATTGAGATGAGTGTCAGTGCTGCCGTTGCAATGTGGAGGAGCGAGTTGCGGCAATGTGGGGTGTGGGGTAGGCTTCGACAGTTGACGTGGAGTTGGAGACGGCTTACTCAACAACTTGGTGATGGACTTCTTGATGACCACCTGGAACAGCTGATCGGGCCTGGTACCGACCGCGAAACCATCAAATCCAGATAGCTGGGGATGGAAGTTATCCGCGAATGCATCCATGAAGCTGAGCCCGGGATCGTTGCGAATATCGTGGACAAACTCCGGCGGGATGACGACGGTCTCGCCGACGTCCGTCATGAATCTGTAGGGCTGGCCAGGAAACTTCTTTCTGCCAGTCTCCATCAAGCCTCTGGCATTCAACAGGAATCCCTTCTTCCTTTCGCTGTTGAATAGGTCTAGTGACTCTGGGGGGTTGATCCAAGGGAGCTTGCGAGAGGGCTTGCGCATGTGGGGTACGACGGCGAAGACGCTGAGGAGGATGATGCCCAGACATAACGATGTCCAGACGTCCATGTTCCTGTGCAGAGATGACTCCGCCCAGGTGCTGAGAAAGTGTTTCGGGGGCTGGAGGAATTCCATGCTGGCCAGCCAAAAAAGGAAGAATTTGTCAAAAGAAGTGCTGAAAGATCTAAACCCTTAATGCGATGAACCAGCATGAGAAAAGACGAACTTCAAGGTTGAAATGAGTATTTATAATGTCGAAGAAGAGGAAAAATGACAACGCCAGGGTCAAAAAGTCCGTCCGTATTATCTAATCCGCGTCCAGCAGAAAATATTGTTGAAGTCGTCAAGTTTCCCGTCCAAGGCATCGTGTAAAACATGTCGGAATAGGCCGCCGGACTCCCTGTCGCACAACTCCCGCCCACGATGTGACGCGGGGAGACCCACCCCATCTCCATCTTGAACGCCCATCGACGAATCAGAGCTTTCGCAGTGGGTGTTACGGTTCCCGTCATGCGGATCATGCAGTGCCAGTTCGGAGGACGACAAGTGCCCGACGGTGGAGACGGTGGAGCCCTTGGGATTTGGGATAGTTCTTGATGCCCCCAAGGAGGCTCGTCTTTAAAACGACGACCTCTTCTCTTTTTTTTTTTTTTTTTTTCCAAGGCAGGTCCGCTTCTAGGGCGTGCAGATTTGTACGATGGACTCTAGTGGGCTCATTAGTCATGCAGCCCTCGACGCAAGCAACAGCATTCTAGCTTCACAAAGTCATGATTTCTGCCCCTGAGCACCGGCCAGAAAGCACCCGCTGACCCCGATTGTAAACTTCAATATACACACTAGAGAGCGTTGTGTGCTCTGTCACATAACGGCCGTAGAAACAAACATGATGACTGATCTTGCAGACCTGGTTTCAAATGGAATCCGCAGGCTGTCATCCCATCTGGTTTCCCCACGGCTAGCCCTGCTCAGCGCTCAAATGGGATGGCACGTTTGCTTGTGCCTCATCATCCTCCAGCACTACTCATTTTCATGGATCTTTCAGTCTTCTTCTCCCTGGCATAGTTCGTAGGTCACGTCACCCGCAACCCCCCAACAGCGCCAGACAATCCAAGTCAATCGTTGTTTTCAGCAACGCAATATTCTAGCTGGGCTCTGTCCGAGACACAGACGGCGAAAAGCTAAGGGAGAGATGAGGTTCCGCTTACGTCAACATCTTATCTTGAAGTCTCAATGAATACGGCTGACAAACGAGACCGACAAGAGAATATTTCCACCCATCATGAACAGCCCTTGGTTTTCAAGGACGTCCCATTGGCATTTCCGTCATTAGGAAGAAATCTACGAGGATTTCAGGACCAAGGTCAACGGATTATCTTACCTCGCCCCACTGGTGCTTCGTATGAGTTCGTTGGACCAATTTACCATCAACGGCATCCCACCTCGCCTAATCTCTCTCTTCCATCGCCAATCGCCAAGCTTCTGCCCCCTGGGGCGACATTTTTTGAAACACGAAGATAATCTCCGCGGTTGCCTAGGCTGGCATAAGGCAGCCCGTTCTTCCCCAAAACCTTTTCTCCATTGCGCTTTACGCCGTACCCGGTGATTGGATCGTTTGCCAGCTGACCAACTGTGGATGCACATCGACTTGAAGCAAAATTCCGTCGAACTGGTGGAAGGACAATGGCTAGTGGACGAGACACACTTCTGAGACCACGGCATAGGCATTTATCTTTGATCATCAGTCTATCATGCGCCGTTTCCGGGGACTCTAGCCACCTCTCATAATTCTCTGCTGTCATAGTGTGGTCTTCTGCTGTCCTCGTTGCGTCGATGAAGTCTCGACGATGACCCTGATAATTGTTGTTCTTTTCCGAGTGAATATCAACTGCGTGGTGATTCAGCTGTCTAGAGGCATGAATTTCTTCTCTGGGGCTGAGTTGTGTCACCTCGGAGAAGAGGTTGACGTCTTGCATTCATAGCAGCAGGAATCCAACTCTACCGACATACTTTACATGGTCTGCTATCTAGACTCGCTTTCAGAGTTTGTCACGTGCATAACGAGGATTGGAAGAATATCCAAAAGACAACAGAGTCGCTTGTTGAACCCTGGCGAGCATCCCACAGCTTCTTTAATCTCAATATCGAACGCCACCTCAAAAGAGCAAGCAACCCGTCAATCCGTCAACCCCAACGGGGCTGAGCGCAGCTGAGCTGCAGAAACGTTGCAATTCCACAGCTAAGCGAGCCTTTTTGGGGGTTCGGCGTGTTGGTTCCCCCTGGCATACTTTATGTCGTGGCCAATGGCCGGGCGACGAAGTCTGTTGGAACTTCGATTCCGGGATCTTGACCCACAACACCAACATGTGCGTATTATTTCCCTCGCCAAGCGTTGGAGCCTGAATTTTACATGAGCTGGTTCTCTTTTTTTTTCGTCTTTTCCCCTGCGACTTCATCAAACTGTTTCTTCCTTCTGTGGGACAATGCCCGTCAATTTCATGAATCAATGAGGTTCTTTTTGTAGCTGACTTCCTTTACAGCACTCGCGATGCAATGGAAGGACAGTGGGGTTGTTGGAGGCTTCCAACTCCGGAGGAAGCCTGTCACGCAGCAGGCGAAGGAGCACTCTGACGCCAATGAAGGCCACTCAGAACGCGTCCCGGATTCTTTCCCGAGACCTGATAGTCCTGAACTGGCGCCTTATCAATCTCCAACCGATTTTGGTCAGAATCCCTGGCGAGTCAATGAAGGCGGATACCAGAGCGTTCCTGGAGCAGAGCACGACACCAATGTCCACCATTCGGATACACGGGACATTTCATCACACCCTGCTACGACGGAGGACTGCATTAATCGTGGTCTATCGCGAAACGATGGCACGCAGAACTTCGGAAGAGATCACGGCAATCTGCTTTCGAAAGCTCCGATACCATCTTCAGGTTCCTCGACAGCCGGAGCTTCGGACGACAGAAGAGATCTCACCCCAAAAATATCGGACAAACAAGACCCCAAGCCAGACGGAGACCTGCTCCTTTCTTGGAACGCAACTTTCTTGGCATGGTGGCAAGAGCTGATATGGTGCGCCATCAGCCTCATATCAGTTTGCGCTCTGTACATCCTCTTGCGCCACTACGACAATAGAAAGTTGCCCGACTGGCCTTCTGGACTCACCCTCAACACAGTAATCGCTCTGCTTGCGACCGTCGCAAGGTCTGCCTTTGTCATTCCGGTGTCCGAGGGCCTGTCTCAACTCAAGTGGCTCTGGTATCGCAAGCAGAGGACCCTGAAGGACTTTCAGGATTTCGATGCTGCTAGTCGCGGACCGTGGGGGAGTCTTCAGCTGGTGAAAACCACGAAAGGCTGGTACGTGGTTCATCATAGCCAATGAATCGAGTAATACTGACGCCATCTAGGCCTCTGAGCGTCATTTCTATGGTTGTATTGGTCACTGCCATGCTCACTTCCGCTCTGACACAATCATCCGTCACCTATCCCGAGCGCCAGGTTGCCATCTTGCCTAGTTCTCCCGTTGCTCGTCTAGTTCGATTTTGGAATCCCATGACAGTCAGCTGGTACTCCCCCTGTAAGTCTCTTCTCAATCTCTCCTCTGCTGAAAATCGGCAATGCCCGCGTGTTTGCATACTCATGACCCCCAGACATCAAAGGCGCAACCTACGACGCCAGCATCCAAGCCGGCCTCAGCCACGACTCCAACACCCTCTACCCCTTCGACCAGCCCGGCTGCCCCACCACCGAGTGCCGCTGGCGCGTCTTCAGCACCCTCGCCATCTGCACCAAGATGTGGAACATGACCGACCAGCTCACGTACAACTACAACGGCAACAGCAGCCGCTTCGTCAACACCGGCACCCCGCGCAGCCTCTCCCTGCCCAACGGCGCCCTCGCCAACTTCGCCCCGTCCCTCACCGGGCTGGTAAGCCTCAACAACGGGCAGGCATCCCTCCTCCCCGCCGCCGAGGTGCCGCAGTCGGCCTTCTTCAACTTCACCGCCATCTTCACCACGACCAAAACCACTGGCGCGATGGAGGTCATGTTCTACATGTGCGCGCAGCGCTACAACGTCTCGGTGCAGAACAACGTCTTCTCGCGGACGCTGATCCACTCGTCTGCGGAGGTGGAGGAGGGCACATTCCTGATGCCGGAGTCGACGACTTCAAAGGAACAGGTGGAGGTCACGACGGAGGCGGTGACGGTGCCGCAGGAGCCCGGGGTGGCGTTCCCATACGGCGGCACGGCGCTGACGCCTCTGATCGAGAGCTTGTCCAGCGCCATGAACGGGACGTACCCCACGACGGAGAACGAGCGCGGCCGGGCGCCGTCGCGGTACTTAAACGTGCTGGATGTTGTGCGGCGGGAGCGGAACGGGACGGAGAAGCAGCTTTTCGAGGCGGTTGGGAATGTGACGAATAATGTGGCGAGGAGCTTGACGAATAGTCTCCGTGATAGCTTGACGACGGAGCAGGCGTACATCACGGGACAGGCGTATGTCAGCGAGACTTACGTTAAGGTGCGCTGGTGGTGGATGACTTTGATCTCGTGCCAGGTCGTGCTGTCGACAGTCGTCCTGGTAGCTGCGCTAATTCAGGCGAGGATGGCTGGATTGAATGTGGTCAAGAGTTCGACCTTTCCTGCATTCTTTGCTATTGATTCGTCGGAGAAGAAGATGCTGGAGACGAGAACGGCCCCGATGGATGTTCAAGAGAAGGATCGATATCTAGGGACGAAAGGGCTGGGACAGTGGAGACTACGGATGCAAGACAACGGCTGGGTGCTTTTACGGGATCAGAAGGAGCCGGGATGCTAGTTGTGTATGATAAAGATGATACAATAGCAATGTGATGGAGGTGAGTGGATGACGAGCTTGAATCTAGCTTGCCGAGCGTTGAATATTCACAGCCTTAAAGTTCTCAGTTTTTTTTTTCAAAGAAGTAAATAGGATGATTACTCCTCTTCGGCAAGATTCCATGCTATGAATCCTCTCTTAGCAGCTCAAGCCCAGCAATCATGCAAACCTCATTTGATTCCAAAATATAGCGCCATTTGTTTGGTCAAACCGGAATGTTCTTTTTTGTCTATTCCATCTGACTAGCAAAACACCTCTCTCTCATCACAACTTCAACCCCTCCATTAACCCCTCCAACACCCTCCACTCCTCACTCCCCTCCCAACTCTCCTTGCCACGACTCATCACACTCCTCACCGCGCTCCTCGCCTTGCCCCTCCACTTGCTCCCAACCCCCTCCACCTCGCCGCCAAAGTTCTCCAACACACCCACCAACTCATCCGTCCTCTCCACCACAACCCCCCACGCCCCCTTATCCACAAGCCAATTCCTCCCCTCCCCGACGCCCCCCGTCCCCGCCGCGCTCGCCGTCAACCCCCCGCCCGCCCCGGCCCCCATCGCCGCGCGCCACCCCTTCTCCGCCGCGTCCACCGCGCCGGCATACTCCCGCCGCCACACCCGCAGCTTCACAACCAGCCCCCACAGCTCCGAGCGCGTCGTAATCAGCGGCACCACGCTCTCCTCGAAGAGCGCGACCACCGCGCGCTCCACCGTGCCGCGCGGGGGCGTGTACACCCCGTGCCCGTCGTCCTCGGCCTTCTGCTTGGTCAGCAGCGCCTCGTTGAGCAGCGCGCGCAGCACGTCGTCGTCGAGCGCGTCCTCCGTCTTGCGGATCCGCATGATGGCCCGCAGCGCCAGGACCATGTCCAGCACCGCGGGTGGCCGCATGCGCGACGCGAGCGTGAGCACGTTGTCCCAGATGCGCCAGTTCTCCTGCGCAATCTGCGCGCCGCGCTTGTACGCCGCCAGGGCCTGCGAGAGCAGCGTCGCGGGGTCCTTGACATCGCTCTGCGGATGCGCCACCTTCTCTTCCTCCTCATCGTCATCCTCCTTGTTCTTCTCATCGAGCATCTTCTTCTTCAGATCCTCCACCGTCTCGAGGTACATGCTCCACAGCGAACTGCCCAAATTACTCCACGTCCGCGCGTCCTCTCCGCCGACGACCTCGCCCGCCGCCCCGATCGCGCGGCCGTACGCCTCCGCCGCGTCGGCAAAGTTGCCCATCCGCAGGCTGATGTCGCCCAGCCGGCCCCACAGCTCCGGGCTGAGGCGGTTGCACCGCGTCGCGGCCTGATACGCCTCCAGTGCTTTCGTCCAGTCCTTCTGCTGCAGCCAATGCTCGCCGAGCGACTTCTGCGCGCGCGCGAAGCGGTGCTTCGAGACATCCCACGCGCGCTCCCAGTGCGCGGGGTCGTTCTCGAGGTCTCCGAGGATGCAGAACAGCCGCGGGGCGTTGGGCGGAGGCGGCACGCGCTCCGGGCCCTGGAAGGCGTCTGGTTTAAGGTACGTGACGTCTTCCCCGTCCTCGAGCTCCGTATCGGGGTCCGCGTGCTCGACGGCGGCCGGGGTGCCGGTCTTATGGAACAGCCGCCAGCGTACGATGGCGCGGGCCTTCTGCTCACCCCCGGAACCGCGGCCGTCTTCGTCATCGGCGGACGCGGAGGAGGCGAGGCACAGCGCGACCTCGGCCCAGAGGCGTAGGCGCTTGAAGATCTCGAGCGCGGAGACGAGGGAGCCGACGCCGGCCCAGGAGTAGGCGAGCTCGGACTCGAGGTGCCAGCGCGGCGGGGAGGAGAGGGTGTGGATGTACTGCAGGCGGACGCGTGCCGGCGCAGTGTCGGTGTCCTTTGCCGCTGGGAAGAAGGAGGTTGGCTTCTGCTGTTGCGATGTTGTTGTTGTGGTTGTGTCGGGGGATGTGACTGCAATAGCCGGCACGTCTACATCAGCGACGTCTTCGGCCTTGGGGCGCGGCGCCTCGGAGGTGTCGACGACGACCTGGTCGACGACGGCCTGCATCTGCAGCACGCCGCGCTCGACGGTCCTGCTGCGGTGCACCTCGATGCGGGAGCGCACGAGCAGGGCCTGCGTGTAGATCTGCCAATTTGTCGGCTTGTCCGACACCACGCGAACGGCGTACGGCAGGACCTCCTCCGAAGTCAACGCGTCTACCGGCGAGAAGGTGTCTTTCAGCGTCGCCTCCGTGAGTAGGATGATCTGGTCCAGAGGCGAGAGGCGAGGCTGTGCGTCTGGGGAGAGATCCGCGAGGGCGGCTGGTAGCGCAGAAGGTGCAGCGGCGAGTTCGCCGTGCTTGCCCGTCGCGTCCTTGGAGAACTGGATCTCCTCGAGGAGAGTATCGTCGTTGAGCGCCACGGCCTCGGGCCCGGTCTTTTCCTCCTCCGCTACCTCCTCTGGTACGTCGGACTTCGCGAGAACGACAAGCTGAGAAGTGCTCTTCTCTTGAAACTTCGTCCTCTTACCCAATGCACCAGAGAGCGCGTACGCGAAGCTATTCAACTGCGTCGCCTCCTTCAACGCCTCGCGCGCCTTGTCGTCGCGGCCGAGCATGATGTGCGTATTCGCCGCCTCCAGTAGGAACTGCACCTTCTCCTCGCGGGACCAGGCGGCGGCGCTCTCGCCGGTGGCCCAGACATCCTCATCGAGGAGCTGCTTGCGCACGGCGTCGAGGCAGGCGGTGATCTGCTCCGCGAGCGTGGGCACGTCGATCCACTGCGACGCCTTGGCGAAGTTGGACCCGGGCCCGAGGGAGGGCTGGCTGAGGAGTTTGAAGTGCCAGACGTTGATGCGCAGACGGGTCCAGGGGACGCTGAGGCGCGTGGCGTCGGAGAGAGTAACTACATCCTCAGAAGTGGAGGCGGTGAAGATGTGTCGTGCCAGGGCGAAGAGCTCGATGTTGGGAATGTACGGATACGGCGAGACGCCGTCAACCTCCAACTCCTTAAAACTCTTCCTCCTCAGGACCTTGAGTGTGTCCTCGCCAGTGGACGTGTCTGCCGCAGCAAGCGCCTCAACAAAGAGCTTCTCTACCCTTTCGACATTTTCCAACACAGGGCCGGTAACATTAGACTGCAAAAAGGCGTTGAGCGTAGCAAGACCGACGGCGATCTCGTCTTCGGAGAGAGATCCGGACGGCTGCTGCTCGCTGGTCTGTGCGAGGCTGGACGCGAATCTGGCGATAACATCTTTCGCGGCGGAGGATGTGAGCACGTCGACGTAGGCGCCGTTTGCGACTGTCGAGAGCAGCGAGGCCGGTGCCTGCTGGGATTCAGCCATGATGTGGTGAGTTGTTGTCGCAAGACGAATAATCTCGGTTGCGATAATGAGAATGTCGCGATAGTGGGTGAAGTCTGCCCCGCGGCGGGGTAACTTTTGAGAAAAGAAAACCTTTGAAATTTCGCAACCCTGTACAACGATGCGGAACTTGCAGGCTGTCGTAGTTCTCTAGGGTCGCCCAATGGTACCTCCAAAGTAACTTAGCGTTTCTTCGATTCCGTCTCGTCGCCGGTGAGTCAAACGGCGCGGTTTTGGGGTGTTTTGATGCCCTGTGAGATCGAAATTTCCATGGTGGGGGCGGGGCAAATTTTCACCTGCTGTCTGTCACTTTTACATAAGCAGCTCACTGGCCCCTCACCGAGCTCTCCGCGGGGCATCTAACCCACCACCATTACCCTGATGAGTCTCACTCTGAATAGATGCTCACTTCAACTCGTTCAATATCGCGAGGGAAGACTGAGTCTTGACAATGCTACACTATCGCTTGCACTGATACGCTACATGATGAGATCCCCGCCATGAACAACTAACCATACGCAATAACGCTGTCCGAGTCTCCTCAACATCGCCATGGGATAGTACATGATTACGCTAGCTTTATGAATCTCATTGTGCCTCATTTCCACCATGTCCAGAGCTCGTCTGACAGCTTCTCCTAGACCTTCTTGCCCGTCTTCTTGCGCGTGGGAACAACCTTGAAGCCGGCGCCCTGGATGGCGGCGTCGCCGGCAGGGGCGGGCTCCTTGTGGCCGCCCTTCTTGGCAACCTCATTCCATCCGCTGGAAGAGCCTCCAGCCTTACTGTCGCCAGACATCTGCTTCTCCACGATGCCCTTGTCGGCGAGCCTCTTGCGTCTGATAAACTCATCGGCGAAGTGCTGTCCGTTCATCGTCTTCGAGCTAGAATAGATGGCGTCGGCAATGAGGGCGTGCTCAAGAGGCAGAATGAGCAGACCAGCGGCGAAAACATCAACTGTATACTTGGTTAGAGACGCTCAATATTGAAGGACTCGTGTGAGACTTACTGTCAACACCAGTGATTCCCCTAGACAGCTCGCGGCTGAGCCACTTGTTGAACTCGTCCATGGCGACATCGGTCTTAGCGGGAGCCGCGATGGGAGCAGCAACGGGCTTGACTACAGGCTTCGCAATCACCGGGGTAGTCTTGCCACCAGCAGCGCTGACGGAGCGGGTCTGCGCGGCAGGACCGGTGGGCACCTTGACCTTGCCGCCGGCTCCGACGGTAGCCCAGCCGCTTCCAGGAGGGGGGGCAGTGCCGGCAGGCTGCGGGAGGCCAGGAGCGGCATTGGGCTTCGTAGCGAGATCGGCGTAGCGCTTACCCGCAGCTGCAGTCGCCAGGCCGGTCTGGACAGCGATCTCCTTGGCCTTGACCTTGCGAAGCTCCTCCTCTCTCTGAATGTCAGCCAGGGTCTTCTGCTTGCTGGGCGTGCTGGCTCCGGGGGTAGCCTTGGTGGCGGCCGGCTTGGTCCAGGGGCTAGCGGCTGAAACCGGTGACCCGTTGCCCCAAGTGCTAGTTGTGGGCAGGCCTCCAGTGGCAGCAGCAATAGCCTTCTCACGCTCTCTGAGAGCGGCGGTCTCTTGTTCGAGGACCTGGCGACGACGCTCGGCGGCAACCTCCTCAGCCTTGGCCGCCTTACGAGCCTCGGCTTCCTGGATTTCTTTCAAGCTAGGGCCCTTGCGACTGGCGGCCTCCTTGGCCCAGGGAGCCAGCGGGGGAGGCTCGGTGGCGGAGCCGGTGTCGGGAGTTCCGGTCTGAGAACGGTTGTACTGCTCGGGGAGGTTGGAGCGGGCGCGCTGGGCCGTGGGAGCCGGGAGGGGAGTGCCAGCGGTGGGCAGAGGGGGAGGGAACGGCATGGGCAGACCCGCAGCAGCGTTCTTGGCGGCGGCAGCAGCAGCCTGAGCCTTCTGGACCTGTTCAGTCAAAGAGAGTTGTTGCTGCTCCTCCATAATCTCCTTCATGCCGGGAGCGGGAGAACGAGACTGCTCCTGGCTCGCCGCGTGAGCAGATGAAGCTGACGCGGGGGCCTCTTGCTCGACTAGCTCTTCGGCGTGCTGGGCCTCCTGAGCCTTCTCCGCCTCGTGCTCGGCGCGGAGATCCTCGAACTGCTTGAGGCGCTCACTGAAGCCCTCCTCATCCTTCTCCAAATCCTCGGTGCCAGGCAGGTTGTTGCGCAGGCTGGTATCGTTGGCGGGAGCGCCGATGGGCTGCTGGGGGAAGATGCTCGACAGGCTGGTGGGAGCTTGGATGCTGGTCAGCATCTGGCGCTCGGTAGGATTCAGGTTCGCGAGATCTTCCTCACGAAAATGATCAAGCCCAGACCCGACGGGGGCCTGGGCGGAGCTCTGCTGGATGGCAGAGTCGAAGAAGCCGGAAGTGGGCCCAACACCGCCGCCAATGGGAGGCTGATGGGGGTGAGCACCGATCGGAGACGAAATGCTGCCGAAGCTAGGTTGGCTCTGCAGGCTGTGAGCGCTGTGCTGATGGTGAAGACCGGGAACACCACCTGGACCCTGACTTTGCAATCTAGTGATGGCCTGCTGCCGCATCATGTAGTCCCGCTGCTGAGCCATGGCCTGCTGCTCCTCCTGCTTTCTGCGCTCGAGGTTGTTCTGCTCCTCCGCAGTTAGAGTTCTGCCAAAACTAGGGAAGACACCACTGAGAGGCGGGATGACACCGGTGCTGCCGCTGGGAGAAAAGGGCCCGGCTTGGGTGGGAGGACCGTGAGGAATGCCAATTTGAGGGACAAGGAACGGCTCTCTGGAGTTTCCAATTCTACGGATGAGCTGTCCGAGTGGCTCAAAGTCGACATCTTCGACCTTCTTCACGCGAAGATCGGGCGTGAAGAAGTTGGCTTTGTACCAGTCATTCATCTCCAAGCCGCTGAAAGGTCCCTGGATGTTTTGCTGAGGGTCGAGGTAAACCCATCTCATTCGATCAGGCATAACCATGGTACGCTGAGCACCGTAGTCAGCACCGGTGGAAGCCCCGGGAGTAAACGACTGCGGGTGTCCTACGCCGACCGCTCCGGCGTGAGAGAGGTCAGCGCCACCGAAGCCGCTGTGCGTGCGAGCCGGGTCAGAAGGGAACATCTCCTCGAAGATGCCGCCGCGGCCACTGCGCATGGGACTACCAGTTTCGCGTGGTTGGGCGGAGAAGTTGCTGCGGCCAATAGCGCCCAGGGGGTTGGCTTGGCGCAGGTCGGGGAGGGAGTCGCTCAAATTCTCCTGCTCATGGCTTTGCATCTGAGCCTGCATGGCGGGTGGGAAAAGTGAGCCCAGCTTGCTACGGCCGATAGTCCCAGCTCCACCAAGACCGCCGGCGCTGGCGGGCCCAAAGACCCCAGCATTGATGCCTGCCAAGCCTGGAGACTGAAGTTCAGTACCCATGGGGCTAAACAACGAGTTACCAAAGACTCCTCCGAAGCCACCGCGCTCCCGGTCAGGGGTGCCAGTTGAGAGAGGAACAGGCCAACCAGAGCCGTAGCCGCGAGGCCCAGCGCTACTTGTCTGGCTGCGATCACTGCCGTCGAGAGCATGACTGGGGAAGCCGCGCAGTGAGTTGAAGCCAGGGTTCTGCTCCCCACCGATAGACGCACCGTGTTGCTTGTCAGCACCAGTGTCATCGTGAGATTCACCGCGCTCGGCGGGAGGGCTACGGTATGGGTTGGTCTCGGCAGGACTCTGGGGACCGGGCTCCTGCTCCGAGTGTCGACCAAGATTCAAACCAGACATGCCGAAATCGCCTGTCGAGCCCTTGACGGGCGTCTCAAACATCCCAATGTTGCTCTGGTTGGGAACGGCCGGAGGGCTCGTGTCTTGTGCACCACCCAGGGCTGCGCTGCCGGATAGGCCGTCGTCGCCTCCGAAGGGGTCAGTGTCGGTGCGAGGGCGTGAGCGCCAGGATTGGGTATCGGAGGCGGAGGCTTCGTTCGGTTTGGCAGAGTTGTCAGGACCGTCCTTGTTGATCAGGTTAGCGAAGCGACTTCCACCGCGAGCGCCGGAACCGATGGTAGAGGTCGGCGTCGGCATTGCAAATTGACCAAAGGCACCGCCACCGCCACCGCCCGCACCACCAGCAGACGTCTGGCCAGGATTGTTCCAGAGAGAGCTGATATTGGCGCCCATCGAGGGAGCGCCAGCCGTGTTGCTCCGGGTCAGACCGCCGAATGGTGGGGCCTTGGCCTGGGACCGGGCTGGGCTCTCAACCTCGTCCGGCTCCTGCTCCTTCACATCATTCTTACGCCCAAACAAGAACTGATCGTCGCCACGGGCCCCGAATCGCGCTGCACTCGGGGACGCAAGGGCGCCGCCGCCGAAGGGGTTCGAGTCTGTCGTCTCGCGGCGTCGGGTGCCCGGTCTCGAAGCGGAAACTGGAGAAGACAGACCGTATCCAGCGGCGCTGCCGTGCGACAGAGACGCTTTCCGACCGTTGGTTCCAGGCGCTTGGTTTGCTTCCTTGTTTTGGATGGGCGGCTTCAGAGGAGAATTGACGTCGGATGCGAATGCCTGCCTCATATTAGTATCCATGGCGTGGCTGCCAGTGCCGTCATGCCAGCGCACCTTTTCCTCCTCGTCCGTCAAGCCGTTCACTCCTACAGGGTGGCCGTCACCACGGGGGTTCCAGCAGGCTGAGGGATCTTGAGAGTTATGGCTGTTATTGCTCTTGCCCCAACCCCGCGCAGCGCTTCCGTTTGTGTGTCCCGGAGTCCATCCCGGTTCTATCACGACAGAAGGGTCCGCGTCCGCCGTGCCGTTCCTGTACAAGCCCAGGATTGACTCCTTCTGGTACTGTGACGAGATCGGGTAGTCGTAGCTGGCGGCTCCGGGGGTCTGGGGGATCGCGCCTGTGTCGGCGTTTGACGCGGCGAAGGCGTGTTCGGATGAGGCAGCGGGTTGGGAGGCTTGGCCGGGGGTCGTCGAGGGGCGGCGGAAGGTCAGCGTGCCGTTTCTGGCATCACGTCGAGCCCTGCATCGCGTGTTAGTACCTTGTGGATGCGTGGCTTGGGTGCAGTGTTGGTTCGCGGCGAGGCCGGGGACAGCAGGGTTGTGCAGGAGTGCTGTGACGTTGCGGCAAGGCTGAGAGGATGGAGCAGACTCCACACCGGCCGAGCAACCAACGCACGCAGCTAGCGTGCAGAAAGGGAAAAGATGCGACATCGTCACGACGACAGGCCGAGCAGAAAGTCTGCGGCAAAACGAAAAATGCGCGGTGGGTAGGGCAAACAAGCGACCAAGTGGGAAGAGGAGCAGAGAGAAGAGGTGGAGGAGAGGGCAACTGACCATTCCCCGCTGCCCGAACCGCGGTCGCTGCGTCCCGCTCTCGCGTTTGCGTTCTGACCGGCGGCGGCGGAGGCGAAGCTTGATGGTAGATTCGAAGGCATGGCTGATGTTGGTGTTGCGCAAAAAAAATAGGGGGATTGAAGGTGTTTGCTGGCGTTGAGCAAGGGCCGGGGGGTTGCAGCAACAACGCGCAGGTTGTGGTTGTGGATTTTTTTTTTTTTTGGGTTGGGGGTTTCGGGAGTTGGTCTGATTCGACTCTGGTCGCTTCCGTGGACAAGGCACGAAAGGGAACGGATGCAGTTGGATTGGTGTGTGTTTGTGTGTCGCGCGCGACGTTTCGTTGGAGATGGATACACAGAGGTGATCGGTGTTGTGATACAGATAGCTGATGAAGGCTTGCTAAACGATGGATTGATCGGGAGACCGAGGAGGGGGCGGTTCGCGAGCGTATGCGGTCGTCGTGCGAGGGTGGTGAGGGTGAGCTGTCTCGTCGAAAAAATCAAAGGTTTGAAAGGAAAATTGCCAGCTCGGAAAGACCCACGATGGGTGTGGTGTGGGGACCAGGGAGAACTGTGGGAACCGTACCCGCGCTAGGCCGAGAAGGGGAAGCGCCCGGGGTTTTGCCGGTGCCGGCCACACGTTTTTAGGGTGAGTGCCGGATGACGTTGGCTTGGTGGTTGTTCTATTTATCTTGCATTTTCACTTAATCGCAAAAGAACTGAAGTGCTGCTGAATGTTTCGTGTGACTTGACATTTTCTCCGACTTGGAGGAAACACTGAAGACACTGGAAGACAATTGGGTTGTTGCTTCCTCCTTCCCCTCCACGGCAACAAAGACGTGACCCAATGGCAGACCCTCCTTCCATTGCGTCACGTGGTACGTCACACGTGACCCCACTCTGACGTTGAAGCCTCAAGTGCCCAGATCATCGGGTGCTGCTGCAGGGCTTCTGGCTTGGGGGCTATCTGACACCCAAGACCCTACGCAGTAGGCTGGGCTGGGATCGGGTGCTAAAATTCCTAAAAACCCGGCTATCTGACCTAGGCCTTCAGGGGTCATCCCCTAGAGCACACCGTCGCCGCTGCCCGACCTCCCCTCACTATGCACTCTAAAAAGAGAAAAGCCTCCTCTCTCAGGTCAGGCCATGACTTTCATCTTCACCACCACGCCTCAAAATGCTGCCTGCTGCCAACCAACCCGCCCGCCTCCTCGTCCCATGTCTTGGGGCCAGAACAGAAAAGTCTCATGCCTGCCCACGACTCGCATCCCTCGCGCCCACCGCAGGTGTCATTGGGCAGGAGTTTCAGAACAAGCTCAAGGGAGAGTTTAATGCTTTTGGGTTGTTTCATGCAGCCAACGGGCTCTGAACACTCACGCTCGACTCGTCCAAGGGAGGGATGGAGGGGGAGGAGTTGAGGAGGCAGCATTGCGCAGGATGATCACACACGAACAATGAGACGACGTTCGACCCCCTCACCTAGGTTGGTGTTGGCTCTGCGCTGGCCTTTGCCTTTTGCGCCTGAACTGCCCTATTATCTGCTGTCCGCAGACTTGCTGTCCGGATGAAATCTGCTCGCCTCGTGCTCGTGCTGTTCGATTCTGTCATTACTCAGTCACCTTTCTTGACTGCCTCTGTCTGCCCGCAAGATATCCGTGCATCTCGAACTTATCTTGCTGGCCTTACGTCGTGTGCATCGGTGACGTGACTGACGGTTGCTTGAAGCCCATCAAGACAGCAACTTGCATCCTGGAGCCTGCGGCCTGATCTGTGAGAACTGCCCCCGGGCTGCGCAATGGTTTGGAGACGACAACAGCATCATCCTGTAGCCTCCCACGTGTCTCGCCCGCTTCCAACGCCGCACGTCGTCTAAAGTCTTATTCCATATGTGATTTCTCGACATTTCACTATTACCGTCTTTCCTTTCATAATGTTATGTCTCGGCCGAACCGGGTCCGGCGCTATCCCATCGCTAGTGCAAATCGTCTCATAGCTAGCCTACCTAAAACCGCGGAGCCCCCTGGAAGCTTGTTCAACCACACATGCCACATCCCCAAATATCACGGCCCCCTTCCGTCACATGTGTTTCGCCGCCAACGACATCTCATCACACACAATAACATCTCACAATCCCAGAGCAAGGCTGATGCTGGCAGCCACCACACGCTAAGAACATGGCACAAGCTGGACTCACGCGCTCGCTGATGAGCTGGCTCACCCGCATCCTGGCATTCCTCTTCGTCATCTGGGCATCCCCCACCGTGTTGGGCTCCTTCGGGCTCGGGGGCAAGGACGATGCCGGAGACTACGCCGCCACGAATCCCTGGCGCGACCTCCCCGCGGACCCGGCCGTCCACGAGACGCTGAAGGAGGTGCTCCTCATCGGCGACACGCTGCGCGACGGCATGCTGCCCACATCTCTCCCGGGCGACGACTACGACACCTACTCGGCCATGCTGCGCAGCCTCGAGGGCCGCGAGGACCTCACCTGGCTCGTCATCCAGGAGACGCGCATCGATCAGACGGTGTCGGCGATCGCCAACCGCGGCGGGTACCACAGCCCCATCCCGGAGGAGCCCCACGACTTACATGAGCGGGCGAAGAGGCTTCATGATCACTGGTTTAAGCTCACCTCGGCCAAGGACAAGCCGGAACGCTGGGAGGTACGGTTTGACACGACGTATCTCCCGTCGCTCCTCACGGCGCAGGCGCTGGATTCGGGGGAGAGGGCGAAGGGGTTCAAGCTGGACTTGACGCCTGCGCAGAAGGCCGAGGCGGAGGAGAAGTACAAGGCCTACCGCAAACGGAGGGACCGCGCCGTGAGTTACCTCAAGAACAACCCCCCGAAGCCGATGGCGTGGGTCCCGGTCCAGACGGACGCTGAGGAGGTCAAGCGCGGAATCTGGGAGACGATCTTTAGCGATGGGATTGTGCGGGCTGGGCGGAAGGTGTTGGGCAAGCAGATGGCGGCGAATCCGCTGTTCAAGCCCGTCTATCGGGATCTTGTCACGGAGCGAATTCCATATGGCTGGGTCGATCCCAACCAGCCCGCGGAGGAATTCAATGAGGCGGACCACCTTAAAGAAATGGAGGCCTTTAGAGAAGAAAGCCGTCTGAGGCAGGAGAGGTCGGATAGGCAGGCCAAGTTCCAGGAGGAGCTGAGGGCTGCGGAGCGGGGAGACAAAGATGAGTTGTAATGTTGGAGTAAAGAGGGCATGAGAAACCAAAGCAACAGTCTTCGCTATTTTATACAGGCTAAACGCTAGTAATTCTACAAAGATGCGTCAACAGCGTGCACCGTCATGCCGGTCACACAACCCCCCCCCCCCCCCCCCCCCCCAACGTGTCTTTTTCACCGCCCAGTTGAGCCGCAACACTCCATCTCAACCCCCATCGCCAACTCTCACCAGCCCTCATCGCTTAGTACCCAGACAGCACAGCGCCGATGGACACGATCGCCGGCACGCCCTGGATCAGGAAGATGCGCGGGTTCGCCGTGGCGCCGCCGTACGCGCCGGCGACGGCGACGCAGCCGAGGAAGAAGAGCTTCAGCTGCTCGGCGAACTCGGGGACGGGGTGCGCGAGGCCCCAGGCGAGCCCCGCGGCGAGGAAGCCGTTGTACAGGCCCTGGTTGGCGGCGAGGGCCTTTGTCTTCTCGGCGAAGTCGGCGCTCAGGCGGAAGGCCTTGCGGCCGCGCGGGTGCGTCCAGAGGAACATCTCGAGGACGAGGATGTAGCCGTGCAGGCCGGCCATGAGGCCCGTTGCGGTGGCGCCGATGTAGCCCATATTTTTGGAGGTGGTGGTGTGAGAATGAGTGAGTGTGGTGGTTGAGGTTTAAGGTCAGGTGGAGTTCGTGGTGGTGGCTGCTGTTTGAGAGGAGGCCGGGGGAAGAATGAGTGACTGGTTTTTGTCTCGGAGACAGCTAGTTCAACGACGATTGTGAAAGTTTTCACCGCAAAAAGTCCGAAGGCGTCGTACCGTTGAGATAGGGGAGCTGGGCAGAACTGGACGGTACCGATGGGATAAAATCACCGGCGGAACGGAAAAACGATGGCAATTTAGGGGCGTGTTGTCTCACGAACGAATTCGGATGTTTGCGAGTCAGCTACTTTTGGGCTACACCGAGCTCACCGAGGACACCGGCGCTGAGGATGCTTGGCGGGCTGCATTCGACTGAGACAGAGGGCATCTCGAGGCTACATTTGGGAGGCCTGAATTGCATTACATGCGGGACTTTTGAATTCTTGGGTTGGGTTGAATTAATCAGTGAAGCAATAATCGAATCAAAAGACACGCAGTCAAGTTTTTCGATACCAGCCTGGTTCAATCCCCGTCAGAGTCATACAGCAGTCAAAAAGGTGTGCCCATAGGCAGCAAGCTGTGAAAACAAAAGTTAGAAGGGAAGAAGGATATAAAAAAAAAGCAAAAAGGCTATCTTGTTAACCGGCACTATTCTCGATTTTCTCTGGTCGTCGTTGTCCTTGTTTCTGTCCTAATTACCTTCCCTTCCTCTGTCTCCCACCGTCTCTTTCATTCATCGTCCTTGTCACCCTCGGTAGGAAAGAGCACCTTCCTAAACCAGGCGTCGGCCCCTTCCTCCTGCAAATCACAGGGCAGTTGCTCGTCCAATCAGAAAATATTGTAATAGTGGATACCTTCATTGAGCACGTGACATCACCATCTTGCCCAGGGAAGGAACGAACAGAGGGGTTGCTTGCCTGTTGTACACAGGGAAGCTGCAGGGATGAGGCACCTGCTCCGCCCTCGACGCGAAAACTAATTGCTGCTCACCTCGACGCGTTTGCAGGGTCCTCGACATCGATCGACTTCCACAATCCCCAAAATTTCACCCACAGATATCGTCGATCGGGATATCGATTGCCTCGATTCAGTACAATCCTTTCTGAATTCTGGCCCTCTTTTTCCCGCACCCAATTGCTTTTCTTCCACTTCTTGACCCCGCTTTACCTTCACCTTATCCTTCTCACTCACCTTCATCCCGGCCAAGCTTCTTTTCCCGGGTTACACAACCAACAATCTAGGCCGCCGTGAACGGACACCAACCGCCACCTGCCCGTATTGCTGATGGGTCCAACGTTAGCCGCAAGTCAGGTCAACCCATCGTCACCAATTTCATCCAAGAACCACGGTCCAGGCAGATCGGCTTAGTCACAATTCATCTGACAAGATGCCCCCGATTAAGATGGAGGGGGTAAAGATGGAGGGCATCAAACCTGAGCCATCCGATGCCAACGACTTGCTTTCGACCCCCGTCGCACCCGTTGCAAACCTCAGGAACTCGAACCAAGTCTCTCCTTACGCCACACCTGCGTCGGCATCTACTCTCCGCGGCACCCCTCTTCACCATGTCAAGGCTGAGCCTGGAGTGAAAGCTGAGGTCAAGCAAGAGCAACCCGTTAAGGAAGAACAGCAAGGCCCCGACCCCCTCGAGGAGTGGTCTACAGAGACATCCCCGGAGGTCCTAGAGGATGGCGTCAAGCGAGGCCTGGACTTTTTGAACCATATCAAGAACTTCTTCAATGCTGCTTCATCCATGCCCGACACCCAAGCTCCCGTCTGGCTCAAGGCCATCAGCGATCTCGAGGCCCGATCGGAGGCTTCCAAGGCAATTGTTGGTGTCGTTGGCAATACCGGTGCCGGCAAGAGCTCCGTCATCAATGCGCTCCTCGACGAGGAGAGACTTCTGCCGACCAACTGTCTTCGAGCCTGCACTGCCTCCCCCACGGAGATCTCATACAACAAATCCGACGACCCCTCCGAGCTCTACCGTGCCGAGATTGAGTTCATTTCTCCTGAGGATTGGATGAAGGAGCTCAAGACGCTACACACAGACATTTTTGACGACAATGGCAATGTATCCCGCGAGTGCACCAACCCTGACACGGAGGCTGGTATCGCTTACGCCAAGATCAAGTCCGTCTATCCCTCCAAGACCAACAAGATGATCGCCGAGAGCAGCCCCGAGAAACTCGCCAACGAGTCCGAAGTGAGACGTGTACTCGGCAGCGTCAAGAAGCTCAAGTCGACCACCGCCAAGGAGCTCTACAACGGCATGCAACGCTACGTTGACAGCAAAGAGAAGAACAACCATCTCAAGAAGGACGTCCCCATGGAGTATTGGCCCTTGATCAAGGTTGTCCGCATCTACACCAAGGCGAACGCTCTGTCCACTGGCGCCATCATCGTCGACTTGCCCGGTGTACAGGACTCCAACGCCGCCCGAGCTGCTGTTGCCCAGCAATACATGAAGGCATGCAGTGGTCTCTGGATTGTCGCTCCCATCAACCGCGCAGTCGACGACAAGACCGCCAAGTCCCTTCTTGGTGACTCATTCAAGCGCCAGCTCAAGTACGACGGTATCTACTCCGCTGTTACCTTCATCTGCTCCAAGACGGACGATATTTCGGTGACTGAGGCCGCCGAGAGTCTCGACATTGAGGCAGACGTCGCCGACTCGTGGGCCAAAATTGACGACCTGCGCGACCAGTTGCGTATCCTCAAGAAACAACTCATGGAAGGCAAGGACGAGAAGGCAGACCTCCTCGATAGGCTCGAGCAGCTCGACAGCCAGTGGGAAAAGTGGGACGACTTATCGCAGCGGCACGCTGATGGCAAGACCGTCTACTTACCCACCACCCACGGCAAGAAACGCAAACGCGGTGCGACCTCCTCCAGAAGCCGCAAGAACCGCATATCTGCTGACAGCGACGACGAGTCGTATTCGGACGATTCGGCTAGTGATAAGGAGAACCAGCCGGACGACGACGACAACGACGACGGCAGCGATGGCGAACGCCAGCCGTTAACTGAGGAGACGATCCAAGAGAGGCTCTCAGAGCTCAAGGCACAGCGCAAGGAGGTTCGCCAACTGCGAAAGGAGGTGGACCACAAATTAGCCGGTCATCGACAGGCGATGAAGCCCCTTCAAGCCGAAGAGGGTCGTCTGCTGGCTGGCGTAAAAGCTGTTTGCATCCAGGGCAGAAACGAATACTCGAAAGGCGCTATTCAACGCGATTTCGCCATGGGTATCAAAGAGTAGGTTTTTGGCCCCCACCCCTCCCCTTCTCCCCCGTCTTCGTCCCTCGTCTTCGTCCCCCGTCTCCGTCCCCCCCTCCCCTTCTCCCGTCCCCGGCCCCGTCATCACCTCCCGTCTCTGGCCCCGTCTTCGTCCCCTATCTTCGTCCGTCGTCTTCGTACCCCATCCTCGTTTCCCCTCCTCGTTTCCCCTCCTCGTCTCTCTTCTCCGTCCTCGTCTCTCTTCTCCGTCCTCGTCTCTCTTCTCCGTCCTCGTCTCTCTTCTCCGTCCTCGTCTCTCTTCTCCGTCCTCGTCTCTCTTCTTCGGTCCCGCTCTCCACCCTTGCCCTCGTTTTCCGTCCTCGTTTCTCATTTTCGTCCCCCGCTTTTGCACTATGAATTTGTTACTAACTACTGCAGACTGGACCAGGAAGCTGCCATCGAGGAGAACGAAGAGACATTCAACCCGGATGAGGATATCAGAGACTATGATGAGGTCGCTCGCAACCTGCCCGTATTCTGTGTCAGCAGCCGTGCGTACCAGAAGATGAGAGGTCGCCTACAGAAGGACGACTTCAACGACGAAGGCTTCCGCAACGCCGACGAAACTGAGGTTACCCAGTTACAACAGCATGCCAAGAAGCTCACGGAAGCTGGCCGTGCGGCCACTTGCCGTCGTTTTCTCAACGACTTGAGCCAGCTACTCAACTCCATGAGGATGTGGGCTGTCAACGATGGCTCCCTCTCCCACATGAGCGACCAAGACAAGAGAAACGAGGAAGGTCACATCCGTCGGCAATTGGCTTCGTTGGATAGAGTAAGTTCCCTGGCCCTTTTGTCTTGCCGGGTCTTGTTGAGTGCTGACTGAATGCAGGACTTTAAGAAGGCCGTCGATGAATGCCTTACCTCGATAAAGGAGGCTCTGGCTGAAAGCATATACGATTACTTTGATCTTACCATTCCATCAGCGTTCGCCGCAGCCGTCCCAACTGCCACCTCCTGGGGCGCACACCGAAGCGAAGGTGGCATGTTCTGGGCAACCTACAAGGCCACGTGCCGCCGGTCCGGTGTCTATGCTGGTGCATCTGGTCCTCGCGACTTCAATGCCGAGCTTTTCGAGCCGATTAGCAAGCAGCTTGCCACTGGATGGGAGCGTGCTTTCCAACGCCGCCTCCCCCAAGCGCTTGAAGGTTTCGCTATGAGTGCCCGCCTGCTCTTGGACACTTTCCACCGTGGAGCCATCGCCCGTTCTCAGCAGCGCGGCACCAACTACGCGGGAATCAACATGCTGAGCCAGCAGCTTCGGACCCACACGGCCCGGCTCAAAGAAATTCCAGGTTTGCTCCGCACCGTTGTCCAGGAACTGCAGCGTGAGGCCAGCAGAGGCTTCCATCCCGTTATCACCGAGGAGATGCAGCCGGGATATGACTTGTGTGTCGCAGAGTGTGGTAAGTTTATCTAGTTCGGTCAACGGGTAGTAAGCTAACCTTTCGACAGGCACCGGTTCGTACGCTCGCATGAAGTCGCACATGATCAACCACGTTGAGAACGCCCGTCATACAATGTTCCGTCGCTCCACAGATAGCGTCAAAGAGCAACTCAAGGCGCTATGCAAACGGGTCGAAAATGATATGGCTGCCCAGGTACAGGAGATTTACAACCTCCTCGCTCGTGACTACCTTTCTGTCCTAGTTGGGGTCGACTCCAGCATCCAGCCAGCTGGTCTTCCAAGAGCGGAGCGCCTTCTTCGG